TGGGGCTGAGGTTCCCCAGTGCCATCGCTTGACCTGTAGGTCCCCAGTCTCAGCCCACCTCTGCTATTAGTTGGGGTTGAGAGAGCCTCAAAGCCTAGATCTCCAGGGACATGGGGCTGGAATAGGCATGCCAAGGGGAGCAGGGCACTGCACCAACATTGCTCCTGCCATGCCTTCCTAATCTGGGCCACCCGTGGTGCTGGGGGGTCTGAACCTGCCCTTTTGCAGTTTGAAATCAATGTCCCCTGTTCTGTCACTGAAGGCCTTGGTCAAAAGCCTCTCTCCATCTTTTTTGTAAGCCCTTTTTTTACACTGAAAGGCTGCAAATGATTAACGTTTCTGCTGAGAAGGTGTTACTTCTACAGATCATACCTGATGCACAGTAACAATTTCTTCTATTTGCGATCTGTAAAAAAATACCATAGACCACCTTGGTGTACCTCAAGGTAAACTTAAGCTTAACTTCTTGCTGGACAAAGTTTGCTTCTCATTCTGAGTAAACCAAGTTTCACCTTGTGTTAGTGCAGTCTGCTGCACTCTTAATAAATCCTTTTGCCAGTTAAGTGATTAATAGTCTGCATTCGTTATCTGTGTTTTCACTGTGTCAGCTCTTGCTTATAATGTTCATGTCTGTTGAACAGGTTCTCCACTTTCGGGTAGATCAACAGCCTCACCATGTGCGGTATCTGGGCCCTGTTTGGGAGCGATGAGTGCCTTTCTGTCCAGTGTCTAAGTGCCATGAAGATTGCACACAGAGGTCCTGATGCATTTCGTTTTGAGAACGTCAATGGCTTCACCAACTGCTGTTTTGGTTTCCACCGCCTTGCGGTTGTTGATCAGTTATATGGCATGCAGCCTATCCGGGTGAAGAAATTCCCGTATCTGTGGCTGTGTTACAATGGAGAAATCTACAATTTCAAACAAGTAAGTGTTGCATGGATCACATGGCATTTTCTTTCTCTCTTTTTTTTTTTTTTTTAGTTTCAAAACCAGTGGATATTTGGGAAACGTTTAAAACGTGGTGGACTAGAATATCAGAGAAATTGTAAAAAGTTATCAAATTACTAGTCTTTAAAGGGAAGTAAATAATCTAGAAGAGCTGTGGATCTGTAGTAGTTCAGATAGTAACATACTTAGTCTTTAATACTGAAAAGTCACTTTTTAGTTAACAAGAAGGGCAATAAGTATTTGTATCTTCAGGTTTGATTAGTTTAAAATAAAGATGCATTGTTTGTTCTCCCTTGGGTAGGGCAATTCCAAGCCTTTCTCCCCTTTTCTCTTTATAATGCAAGTGCTTTTAGATTGTCTTGCTCTTAAGTTATTTTGGGTCCTTCTCCAAGCTGTTGGGTACTGCATTTTTATTTCTACATGTTAATCTAAATGGGATATGTCCCTTATAATATATTCTCTGTATACGTCAGCCCCTGTGCTGAGATGTCCATGCCACCTGTGTTACTTGTAAAGGGAAGTGATTCAGGTTATCCAGATTTGGCACATAGGACAGCTTACAATTCTGACTGTTTCTGAATCTTGCTTAAACTGAATCAAACTGAGCATGGTATTATCACAAATGTATGAATAATCTGAGATGTCTTAGTACTTCCAACATGTTTTTGAAGTCAGAACTGGGCTGACGTCATTATCATCAGTAATGTCATTGAGAATTTGACTGAATAGGCAGGAGATTTAGATGTTTTTTCTTGGTCTTTTGAGTATCTGATCGTTTGAAACATGAGTTATGTTTTGCCCTGCAGTCCATGTGAAATATATTGTACCAACAGTCTGTAATACTTGTCATGTCTTGCATTGTGGTTTTTCTATTGTTGAAAGCATTAAGAATTGCTCTCAGTTATGTTACACACACAGTCCTAAGGGGAATTTAATTATGCAAGGCTTGCATTGCCATCAGTAGGAATTTGTTCAGTTGTTCTCACTACAATATGTATCCTCTTTCTTTATAATGAGACTTTTTTCTTTCAGGCTTGTGGCTGAAACCTACCTAGGGAAGGATCAGTTGTGAAACAGGCGTTTTGTTTAGGGTGATGACTTAGTTATTTTAATATTGACTCAATTTGATTCAAGACTTGGCCCCGTAAATAACAACTAAAGCCGAAGAACTCAAGATAAAATGCTGAAGCATTGATTTTGTGGGGTTTCTTGGCTTTTTATTGTTTTACTGAAACCTTATCTTTCCCCCTGTCTGGTAGTTACTGGGAGGACTTTTAGAGTAGCACCACAAGAACATGAAGAACATTTGGACTGACTTATGTCTGACAGCTAATTTCTTCCTCCCCCACTCCATCTGCACAGGCAGAGTGAAAAGGTTAGTTTGAGGAATGGAGGAAGATTAGAGCGAGACAAATTCTCAGTGCATAAAAAATGAGGAATTGCAATGACTGCATAAGTAAACCAAACTTTATTTCTGAAGTACTTCACTCTGCAGGGATGTTACCATTGTCTATGTGTTTTGGGGTGATGGGGTGGGGGGGCTTACATAGATGTTTTTATTTAACTGGTAAGAAGTGGCATCGGGTGACTTAAGACTACAAAAAACCAGTATCTTTGTTTCTGGATTTGAGTTGGATTTTCAGAAGCAGTGGCTGCCTGCTTCTGCTGTTTGTCTGTGAGAGAGGGGAAAGCTAGTGCTTCTGAAGACCAGGGTCATGGCTTTGCAGTTTGACATCCTCAAATAGGAATGTATCCCTGAAAACTTGCCGTAATGTGACTTGCTTAAGACTGAAGAGTCAATCTGCATTGTCTGAGCGATAACCCTGGATAATGTTTTGAACACAAAAGTGTAAATTTCTTCTTCAGTGGAAATGTTTCTATAACTTGAACTGTGGGTTTTTTTTTTAACAAAAACCCCTTGGTTTTATTAAACAAATTACATGAATGGTGGTGGTTTTTCACAGTAAATGTTTTCAAATGCTTATTCATGTTTTTCTCTATATTTTTTCTTAGTTGCAGAAGCAGTTTGGATTTGAATATCAAACGTTAGTGGATGGTGAGGTTATCCTTCATCTTTACAACAGAGGAGGAATAGAACAAACAGCATCCATGCTAGATGGTGTATTTGCTTTCATCCTTCTGGACACTGCAAACAGAAAAGTGTTTCTGGCAAGAGATACCTATGGAGTCAGACCACTCTTTAAGGTGCTGACTGATGATGGATTTTTGGGTGTCTGTTCTGAGGCAAAAGGTAAAACCAGTTGTGCTTAGTGCCTAAATAATTTTAGGTATTGTTGTCAGAGACAACCTTTGTCAGGCTTTTCTTCCAAGCGTGAAGGGAAAGTGAACTGTGTAGTATAAAAGCTATTGTGCTGGATTCAGCCAGGA